CCACATACAAATGTATTTCTCTAAAAACAGCGTGTTAGAATTTCACCTGGTTGAGCTGGTGTCCCATGTGCAGGGCTACAGTCCCGATGTGGAGGTCATGAGTTCGAATCCCGCTCATGACCCTTTCCCACATGTCCTCCCCCCATTCTTCTCCCCTACTTTCCTGTCTCTCTCTCACTTACACTATCCAATAAAGGCACAAAGGCCAAAAAAATAACTTCAAAAAAACCAGCGTGTTAGAATTTCTGTTACTACTAAATGGGCCTTAAACTTAAAATGCAGTAACACTGCCCACTCTGGTTTGGGAAAACCTTGCAGGCCATTGCACAGTCAACGAAACAGCTTAAAGTACGTTAGTCAGTATCAAATTAGCTTCATGTACAGTTAAAACTCTGTGTACGTGTCACTTTTTTCTATCTGTTATCTGCAATTACAAATTGTAATGCAACTCTCTATTGGTAATTCAGTTTTTATTTTGTCAGCTAAATAAAGCAATAGCTAAACCTAGTCATGGAGAATTAAAAACTAGCTAAACCCCTGCTAAAGCTAACCACTAGCATCTGAAAACAGGTGAAATTTAAGTGAAATTCACTGAATTAATGATGATTTTCTGTCATGTCCTACATGTAAAGCTAATAGATTGGAACTAAAATATATTTTTATTACTTAAATAATAAAAAATAAAGTTTATTTTCTCAAATTGAACTAGTTGCAATGAACCAAAAAGCGTTTTGTAGGGCGATGTTGTGCCCCCACCTTGCCTTCTGTGAAGAATATCCAAGGGCAAGGTGCAGTGTCCTACCATGTTTTGTTTGTAGGTGTTGTGGTTCCATCCGTTTTAGGTTAAAATAAATGTCCCTTCTTGCGTGGTTACAAATCCTGGCTTTCTAGACCGGTATGCTGATAGCTTTGCTTTCCTATGCCGTGATTATACCTCTTGCTGACGTCAACACGGACAGTGCAGACAAAACAGACTCATAGTTGTGAATAAACTACTTACTGGCCCACTTGGAGCTCTTCTTTAAGGCTCCGCACATGTTCAGTAGCTTCACTTCTACATATTTCTATGTATTTGCCACATTAACAGCCAAAAATGTCTCATAAAGTAGTGAGGGGTAGAAAGTAAAAGTAACATATAATGAGGGTTTGAGAAAGGACATAAAAATTTGATAAGGACAGAGAAACACGAGAGTGAAATGAGATGCGGCAAAGCAGCTGTGGTGAGTTAGTGGAAATAGCAGAGCAGCAACTCAGCCCGGGTTTGAAGATATGTCTTCATGGTCCTGTAGCTATCAGCTATGAAGGTATTAAAAATGTCGAACAAATTCCTTCTGCAAGGGTGTGTTACAGACTGGTTTTAGCCTGCATATACCTGCACATGCATCCGTGAAAAGGCGTGAATCATCGCCTGCTTTGGTGAGAAGAACTTGTTTTAAGAAACAGTGTTGTGAATGACTTCACTGAAGCGCTTGTGGAGTTGAAGAAAGTTGATTTGCGCAGAAGTGGGGAAAGTTTAATTAACTGACCATAACTATTCCAGCAGTAAATTAAACAGTGTCGCTGTAATATGGTCGAAAGATTGACGAAGTTGGATGCATGTACGGCATACACTTAAAAGAACTACTTAGTCGCATCGTCGCTCTGCCAAGTTTCCATTTGACCTTTGAGAATCTTGTCTTGAATCCTCCTGACCTTCATTTTGCATGAAAATACGGTCGACCTTCAGCTAGAGATTAACGTTAGCTTTGTCTGCAACTGTCCTTGGCTCCTGTGGGGAAGAACTATATGGGAGCAGAAAGAATGTGCGTGGGGGGGAGAAGCGTGCAGTCACGTGAAGTATAGATGCTAACAGAGGCCAGATCACACAGGGCTTTGCCAGGATCCAGTACATAATGAAAGGGCTTTATGTGGAGTCAAACATGCCCCAGTTCTCAGGCTCCGGCTGGAGACTGAAACCACAGGAGAGGTCTGCAAACGAGCTGATTAACACCTCCAACGTCAGCTTTATGACTAACCATCATAAAACAGACAAACTGTCTTTGTGTCTGTAAAGCCTCAGATGCTACCAGGTGGTTTCTCTTTACCTAAAACATGCCACATAGACATATATATCCAACATCTACCTTGTGCTTTGCTAATGAGTATACAGTATAAGTGTTTACAAAGTGTCATGGTTGAAGGACATTTGTATATATATAAAAAAAGTAGGACTATCTTTGGTTTACTTTCAAAGAACCTTAACACACACCAACTACATCACTATTTTTTTTTAAGTTATTTTTTTGGCCTTTGTGCCTCTATTCAATAGTGATCGTGAGAGAGAGACAGGAAAGTAGGGGAGAAGAATGGGGGAAGGACGTGTGGGAAAGGGTCATGAGCGGGATTCGAACCCATGACTTCCACATCAGGACAGTAGCCCTGCACATGGGACGCCAGCTCAACCAGGTGGCGCCCCAACTACATCACTGTTTTAAATACTAGAGTTTAACTACTTAGCTATTAGCTAGTCAGTATTAGCTTGCATACCATCACGTTTGGGGCTGCAAGGTTGGTCAGTGGTTAGCACTGTTGTCTCACAGCAAGAAGGTCGCTGGTTCGCGACTCTTTCTGCGTGGAGTTTGCATGTTCTCCCCGTGCAGCGTGGGTTCTCTCCGGGTTCTCCGGCTTCCTCCCACACAGTCCAAAAACATGTTGAGGTTAATTGGTGATTCTAAATTGTCTGTAGGTGTGAATGTGAGTGTGCTTGGTTGTCTGTCTCTAAGTGTAGCCCTGTGATAGACTGGTGACCTGTCCAGGTGAACCTGCCTTCACCCTGAGTCAGCTGGGATAGACTCCAGCCCCCCATGACCCTAGTGAGGATTAAGCGGTGTGTAGATGATGGATGGATGGACCATCACGTTTGTCTCAATTTCATGGGCAAAAGTTAAATTGTCGCATTTTGGTACCACTTTCTGATCATGAATCTGTTGCAAAGAGTTTATAAGAGGTAACTAAGGGCTTTAAAATAGTTTAGTAATGCAGTATTAATAAATCTATCAGTGATAAACCACCAGAACAACATCTTTTCATTCGTTACAAATGTAAATAAAGACATAAAAATGCTAATTAGGAGTCCTAAGGGTCATGAAGTCATTTTACTTTTTAATATTGAAACAAGTATGCAGTTAAAATGTTCATTATTTTTGGTCCAGATGCCCGGTGACTCTTTTCCAGAAGGGCAAACGTCAAACAGGCCATCAGAGGGGTGTGCTGATGAATTAGAGCTGGAGGCATAAACACCATCCAGACAGACATTTTGCTACCTGGAAGCTCAAAGTTGTTTTTACTGACGTACAGAAGGAAGTTTAATGTGTATACCTGTGTGTGGCTGTGTGTGCTGGTGCAGAGAGCCAGTGTCACCACTAGAGCGCCCATGTGTACGTCCACAGCTCTGTGTTTCAGGGCCTGTTTGCTCTTGAGTTTGTTTTGGCTGTAATGAAGCACAGTTTCTTAGTCAGAAAGTTCCAGCATAGCTGTCTAACTTCAAGTAGCGCCCCAGTGCTTTTGTAGTCAAAAACACTTTGATATGGCTTCCTGTTGATATTTTTACTTGAAAAGGGACTTTTACCCCACTGAAGGAAGTTTCAGTTGTCACCCTGCCTCAGGGCAAATTTAAATGTGTGACTGTTGAGCACAACTGAAAGTAGAAACAACATTTACCAGCAGTCACACTGTGTCTACCACCTGCCTCTTGGTTCTCTTTTTTTTTTCATTTTCACACACGCACGACTTAACACAAATTTACAGAGAAAACGCAGCAAGTGCACAGGGTTCGTGGTTATCTGCTTCCGATTTGGACCGATTTTGTAAAGCCAGCTCGCACTGCTAAGACCTCAGTCCCTGGTTTGTTGCTAACTGGCTGAAGCCAGATGTGTCCGGGCTGATCTGGCCGTGTGCACAGGCTGACAGGTAAAGAGTTAGATGTAGAAAGTGTGCAAATATCACACGGTGGACTCCAAAGGCTCTGCGCCAGGTAACAGTCGGGTGCAGAATAGTTTGGAACCTCGGAGAGAAATGCTGCATCCAGGCTCGAGTTTTCCAAGCTGGCCTAATTATGCAACAGCTGGTGGGAGTGAGCAGGAGGTAGCAGTGGGGGAGGCACGGCTTTAAAACTTTAGGAGAGATGCACTTAAATTATCTCTCAGAAGAAATGAGTTTTGGCTGAAGCGGTGACACTTCTTTGGCAGTGGACGGTGAAGTGCAGGCGTTACCCCGCTGCCTCCTGACAGTCGGGATGGAGGTCACTTGGTTCAATCTGACAGTGCAGAAAATCCGGTTAATTTGACTTTCTTTTTTTTTTTCCACTGTGCCATACTAACTGAATATAAATCTTGGGCTTAAGTCAGACTTGAAAGGCTACAAAAAGGGCATGTGGTGTTCTGCCAGCAGTGGAACAGATTACACATGTCTGCCCTGCTCAGGTAAACAGGTACGAAGAAGCTACTTTCTCTGAAACCCTTCTTAAGTCTCACCAACCCTGCTCTGCTTTATTATGGGACTAGTTGGTAAATGAGGAAGGAAGACGGGCTGGCAGGAGAATAACCTGAATGACAATAGCGACTCGGTGACCCCGCCCCCTGCAGGCGAGCCCGCCCTCCTCTCACTACCGGCTGATGCAATCCCATGGTTCCATTGCGCTGCTGGAGATAATCCCCAGGCTTTCTGAATGGGCGCTGTGAGCACTGCTCTTTGTAACCTTTCTCCTAGAGGCCTGCGAGCCGACGCAGCCTCGGGCTTCACCTGATACCTGCGACCTTTCACCCAGTGAAGGCTTTAACAGGCTGCCTGTGGCTCAGCAGCACCAGGCGTCTTAGCTGGGATCTCCTAGTTCTGTTTCCATTTCTCACACACACACACACACACACACTCGCCTCGTAGCACTTGACACACTTCAGTCAGTTGCCAAGTGAGGGAATCATTCAGGCACAGGCTGGCAGACATGCGGACTCTTGCTGTTGAGTTGTTCATTTACCAGAGACCCATAGCACGCTGAAACAGTGCCACAACACTGACACGTTTTATTACGGTCCACCGTGAAGTCAGTTAAATATAGTGCTGGAATTAAATTCATTTCATCAAACCAAACTGTTACATTAGGTTGTACAAGTGTAACAGTGTCACGCCTTATTCATCAGCTTCATACAGTTTTGTTAAGCCCAACACTTAAGTGTCAATACTTTGTGTTTTCCCAGATCCGCTCCTCCATCACCACGTTGCTGTTCAGCGGGCGAGAGTTCAGCTGGACTCGCCACATGCTGATCGCCGCCGCCATCCTGGCCTTCAACAACTTGCTGGTCATCTTCGTCCCCACCATCAGGGACATCTTCGGCTTCATCGGTGAGTCCTGATGTTGAAAACAAACATTAATGGAGGTGGCTTGTCTTGTGAGGGACGTTTGTTAAACATGGAGCCTGTAGCTCAGACTGTACGAGCCGGTGAAGCAGCACGGTGGCCTGACTAGCACCTTTAGTTCAGAGGTCCTTCTGCGAAGTAAAGACGTTCGAAGTACAGAAGCTTAAAGTGTCGAGTCGTGTCAGCTATGCAGTCGCGTGAGCAGTTTGTGACCACTGGATCTAAAACGCTTGTTCACGTTCTCACTAACGCCAGCAGTTCACATGTTGGGACAGGTCTGCAGCCGCTTTTCACTGATCACACCTAAAATCATGGATCCTTCTCCAAGTGTCCCAGTTCCTCCCTTACACCAGGTGAAACCATGACCCAGTTTGCATCGGGTCTCAGTAGGTAGTCAGTCCAAAACGGTCAAGGATTCTCTGCACTTCAGTCCTAATATTAGAACCCGGAGGATGAGCACTTTATCCGCCATCCTACTCAGCCAACATTCAGCAGAGCTCCAGAGGTGCACTAACGTTTTAAGAGCTGCCAAGAGCTGACGTTTACATGTGCGTAAAATCTGTGGGAGGAACGCGTAAATATAATGCTTTCAGTCACATTCATTTTTAACCTTTTTATTGTGTTTTGTCTCTTTTTCGGCAAATAGATCACACTAAAATACAAGGAGGGAGTAGGGAGAGTCGTGTGTTGATCCGATGTTGTGTGTCACCCACACAGTTACAGGAACCGGATTATTCATGATGTTGTCGTATTATTAACATATTACACATATTTTCTATATATATCAGTTACTGGCAGCACTGGTATATTGCACAACACCATTCAGGTCACAATCTCAATTTAACATTTTATTGCGCCACAGATAACTCCCAGATTCATTCATTTCCACAAGCTGTGTTTATTCATTGTGGGTTATTTCTTTATTTAGAGTAACTGATGTCAGGACATAACACACATATTACAGACATGATCGCGTTAGCAGCATCTTGCAGCAACTGTTTGCAAGACGTCACACTAATAAAGTTTGTAAGGGATATGTTTGGTATACTCCCCGTGCAGCGTGGGTTCTCTCCAGGTTCTCCAGCTTCCTCCCACACAGTCCAAAAACATGTTGAGGTTAATTGGTGATTCTAAATTGTCTGTAGGTGTGAATGTGAGTGTGCTTGGTTGTCTGTCTCTAAGTGTAGCCCTGCGATAGACTGGTGACCTGTCCAGGGTGTCCCCTACCTTCATCCTAAGTTGACTGGGATAGGCTCCAACCCCCCCCCGCGACCCTAATGAGGATTAAGCGGTGTATAGAAAATGGATGGATGGATGTTTGGTATATTAAATTAAAAAGTTGCCCCTTTGCTGCATTTCAAAAATGCAACTGTCTAAAAAGTAAAGCTATCAGTTATCGTAATTTCTATCTTCCGGGTGAGAGTCCTGCAGTCACACTTGAAATTGTAGGAAGCTTCATAAGTATCTGTCAAGTGCTACTTTTAGGCAGAGTGTTTGAAGTCTTGGTTTAACTTTTATGGTGAGTGCTGATTCTGAGTCTTCCCGGTCGGCTAAATCAGTCCTCCTCTCTCTCGCTTTGTTGCAGGTTCTTCTGCGGCCACACTGCTCATCTTCATCCTTCCCGCCGCCTTTTACATCCGCCTGGTAAAGTCAGTGCCGTACCGCTCCCCGCAGAAGATCGGGGTAAGTGTGCAGAAATATACTTACAATCACACACTCGGCTGCTTTCTCACTGCATCGGGTTTCTCCGTTTGTCCCTCGAGTGTTGGTTAACGTTTTCAAAGCGTGACCCGGCAGAAATTTCAGCAGCCTCCTGCTGTGCGTCTCCACACACTGAATCCCGTCTCGTTCTGTCTCCTCAGGCGACCATCTTCCTGATTGTGGGAATCATCTTCATGATTGGCAGCTTGACGCTCATCGTCCTTGACTGGATCCACAACCCTTCAGGCTCCAGCGGCGGCCACTAAACCCCGTTTCTTTCCCCTCAGATTCACACTAGCAGCCACCCTCACCCCACAACACAGCATCTCTTCTGGTTCGCCTCGTCCTCTGGTTCCCCTCATTTCATAAAATCATCGCAGAAGACATCAGTTTTCCCCTAGAGAATATCCCTGGGTGGATCTTTTTAGTTCTTTTTTTTTTTTTTTTGCTTTTTTGGATGTGACAAGACAAACAAGAGAATCAAAACCCAGAGTGGGAGTAACAGACTCTGGTCTAACATGCCACCAAGACATCCTAAAATCAGAAATTCTTATTTCCACCTATGAAGACACAGAACGAACTTACTCTGCAGCCCTCACCTGAAGCAGATCAGTGAACTGTGATTTGCAGGGCTGGAACGATGATGCAAGTCCATCAGTCCTCTGAACTTGAAAGAGACAATTGGGGGTGGAGTGTGTCGTCATCCATGATAAAGAAGCACTTCTAGCATTATGTTTCACTTTGTTTGTAGCGCTATCACACATCCACACATCTGTATTTAAGCTACCGGCCATGAAAAACCTAGAATTTATCAAGCAGTCGGATCATCTCAGAACGACATTTAATCTGGAACTTAATTCAGTCTTTCATTCGGGAAATTGTGGTTTAATTTAATCACAAGCTTTGCCAAAGTCTGCATGCACATACAGATGTAGTTGGTAGGTTCATGCTAGAGCTTCCCAGCTCCACATTCTCAAGGATCTTTCTCGCCAGCTGTTTTCATCCCGGCTGTGCACATGAAGCCAGGAGGTGCTTTCAGTATTACTGTCACGGAGGGATCTGAACATGCAAGGTATGAATGTACAGAATTAAGTGTATCTACTGAAAAAATGAGCGTTGTACAGAATATCTTCCTTCGCCTCATGAGGCCCTCTGCCATCTAGGCTGTATGAAGTGATCATTTACAACAACCAGTACACACACACCTGCTGGAATAACTTATTCGGGATGTAATATAGGGCTACACAGCACAACATATGGAATCATATGTTGTTATTTTATTATATTATTATTATCAAGTAATTGGCAAAAATATGTAAACAACCTTTTTAAAAAAAACTATTTGAACAGCTGAAAAATGTACAAAGTCAACAGAGACAAACGGGAAACTGTTGATTTGAACATTTAACATGTATTTCGATTTAAGATGTTACGATTGTCGTACAATATGTTCACAACGTGCCAAACTATCTTCATCACTGCCGAATAAGAATCCTCATCCTCCCTAAAATGTCATTCAAATGTAGGCGAAGCTGTATGTGCTGTTCAGGTCAGAAGAGTCGTTGGATGTTTTGGGGAAATGGATTAGCATTAGCTAAATATGTAGCTAACACTATGGCTAACAGGCCTTTAAAACCTAGAAAACAGCGACCTGAATCTCCATGAAACCACAATTCAGTGTTCACACTGGTTTTCATTTAAATAAAACCAATGACATATAAAATTTCTGTTACATTTCGCTTTAGACGCCCTGGTTGGTGGATTTTTACAAGGCAACGTTTACTGGTCTCCCTATTTTCGGTTTCTATGCTAGGCTAATCTGACTCCTAGCTCCAGGCGCCTAGCGTCATATTTAGCATTTAAACATGAGAGTGGCATCAAACTTCTCATCTCATTCACAGCAATAAATTGAATAACTTTTTTGAAAAATGTAAACAATAGTTATTTTTCCATTATGATAGCTGTAGCACAGGAGCTAGCCAGAGTAATAATACCTAGATATAAATGCAGATGGTGTGAGCCAGTACAAGAGTGTACAGTGAGTTCAACATCTGTTACACACATGAGTTACTTCAGGGGTGCCCAATCCTGGTCCTCGAGAGCCACAATCCAGCATGTTTTAGATGTTTCCTTCGTCCAACACACCTGATTCAAATGATCAGCTCATCATCAAGCTCTAAAGAAGCCTGATAACAATCCTGATCATCTGAATCAGGTGTGTTGGAAGATCATCTAAAACATGCAGGACGGTGGCCCTCAAGGACCAGAATTCAACACCCCTGAGTTACTTCCTCCGTTTTGTTGTAAAGAATAAGGTTCACTCACTGAGCTCAGGCGTGCATTACCATTGAGATCAATCTGTTTAAACTTATTATACACATTTGAACATTTACTTATGGCATTTACCTAAAAATTTAAATCAGACATTAATCATAAAAAAATAGTTTTTAATTTGTGCCTTTCGTGTTATTGTCATCAGAACTGGCTTCTAATACAGGTGCCTTCAGTAGAGTAGTTGATGACGACATCCAAACCTCAGACTTGTCTCGTTTCACCTCTTCTCCCAGCCAAAGTGGACAACATTTATAGATCCTTTGTGGATCTATGTACATGAAGCAAATAGATATTTCAAATGAAATAGTGTATTATGTGCATGTTTTTGGACTACAAACATGGTCTTTTTGGACAATTGTATATGCTCTGTAAATAATCTTTATTTTATGGTACACTGACACTCGTTGCCTATGAGTGGGTTGTTGGGGAATTCTACCTGACAAGTCTTCTGCAATCCAGTGTTTGTTTTAGTATATATTACACCTTTATTTTTCTCTCTTGCTGTATGACAGTAGATTTTTTTCCTTTATTTGATGCTTGTATATTTGTAGAAAATTTGTTCCCTATGTATACATTTTCATGTTTTATTGGTGACTTCTCAAATCAGGATGTATTAATCAACAACCTACTTCTAAACACAGTTTTTCCCAGAAGTCTCCGAAATATGGCACCAAGTTTCTGAGATTTATTGGCACCTGCTGACCAACACTGGGTTACCAATTAAAGCCACAAATAAGCAGCATCGATGTGTTTTGGAACACACTGATGATAGCAGAGGCAAAATGTATCCAAAGTATTATGTGACCACACTACAGGAAGGTTCCTACGAGATGATTTCATAGAAGAGCTCAAGACTCTTCTGGTATCCATCATCTCTGGATGAATCTTTGTGTTAGTTCTTTCTAAAGACTTACCAGGACAATCAGACACAGGTTTACTTCATACCTTACTGTGGCTTACAACATATCTCGCTGCTGTCATTGAAACACCGTTTTAAAACCCAGTCTTAGTCAGGTTTTATTTCCATGACGATACTTGAATATAAGCTTTCCACAGCTTGACAACGTCAGCAGCCTTCACGACCGAAGGGTCCACTAGGCCCGTTCACTATGAATGTTACACAATGGATTGTTCTCAGTTTGAAAATCTATCTCACGCTTTCCCAATTCATTTGACGAATGTTTTACTGCAACTTCATTAGCCTCCCGCTACAGACGGTTCAATAAGAGCTTTGTCTCTTCCTCGGGTTGGGTTTCATCTCTTTCAAAGGCTCGTCTTACAAAGAAAGGCAAGAGGCGGCAGGTTTATATCAGAGTCCTCCTTTACACTACACCTCGATCCACTTTAGTATCTCAGGTATTTGATCTAGCTTCATATCTCTTCACCTCTTTTGCATGATTGAGCCAAGCTGTACAATACTGTTGTTGATTGTGCTGGCCTAGATGAGAAGCCTTCTTGTGGATTTGTAAAGCCGACAAGTCTTCAGCTAATGCTGTCAGTGTTTAGAAAGTAGATGTACAGAACCACCTGCCTTATTTTTCTATGGACCCTCAGCCGTGGAGAAGCTCCGGCTGTGTTTCTGCTGTTCACAGTGTCTCTGCTTCCTGTGGATCAGGCCGAACATTCAGATTTGTAATTTTACTGAAACAAAGGGGATGTTTTTTGTATCAGTGATGCTGTTTCATTATGATGAACAATAAAAATGTGAAATGAACAGTTTGGTTTTGGACACTTTTTTCAGCTGCCTTTAGATTTTACAGTTTAAAAGAAAGAAATGCACTAAACATTATGTAATGCATGCGTCTGACTTTCTGTATTCAAACACTGGGGGAGAAGTCCTTGTTGTCTCACCGCTGCTTATATAACGTGTCTGTCCAAACTGACGTGTGGGAACGTAACGGCCGAAGTTATATTTCTGGCATGACGATTAGATATTAGGCCTCTCGGTATAAAACGGATCCTCCTGTTAGTGTGTAGCTCGCATCTCCTGCTGACATGTAGCACCTGCTTGTAATGTCTCAAACAGTCAAAATGAAGAATTAGGTAGCCTCGTCATATTTTTGTTCTCAAGTAGACGTTCTAGGGTCAAAACGAAGCTGGAAATGTTGACAGGCAACTCTGTGTGCATAAATATAAAACAGATATGAAAAATTATTGACACAGGTAATTACAAAAGGTAAAAGCATGGACTGACTATTGCTCATAACATTATTTAGAATGTATCATAGTTATGGTTAAGAAGACCAGGAAGAGGTGTGGATCATGCCACTGTCAGAATGTCAAAACAGATAATTCCACTTTTCAATAAAATGTGCATCAGACACGGATAAAGATTCAAAGCTGAGTGTTTTTTTATACACATCTAGGTAGGGATCCGTAACAACTATTTCTTTTTCATTCAGTGTCTAACATTTGAGGATTGTGAAAAATAACTTGACACGATTAATATTGTGATCCATCTGAAGACACTTTACAAGCATCAACACTGGAGCATTTACATACTGCGCACAAAACATAAGACTAAAAAATGTAATATTCCTGCTCTTTTTTGTGGCTATATTTCATATATATATATATATATTGTTCATCAGTTCCCTCTTTAAGGGCTGCAGGGTGGCTCCGTGGTTAGCATTGTTGCCTCGCAGCAAGAAGGTCACGTACCGGTGAGGACACCCGGGATCTTTCTGCGTGAAGTCTCCATGTTCTCCCCGTGCAGCGTGGGTTCTCTCCAGGTTCTCCAGCTTCCTCCCACACAGTCCAAAAACATGTTGAGGTTAATTGGTGATTCTAAATTGTCCGTAGTTGTGAATGTGAGTGTGCTTGGTTGTCTGTCTCTAAGTGTAGCCCTGTGATAGACTGGTGACCTGTCCAGGTGGACCTGCCTTCACCCTGAGTCAGCTGGGATAGACTCCAGCCCCCCATGACCCTAGTGAGGATTAAGTAGTGTATAGATAATGGATAGAGGTCCCTCTTTAAAGGAAACCATCTCTTTATTACCCAGACAGACTTTCATTTTGCCTTAAGGAGGACTTGTTTCAGATTATCACTGATATTTATAAAACCCCCTAAATGTAAAAGTGAGTGTAACACAGACTCTATGTCTGAAGCTGCAGGTTTGTGTGCACACAGTCCCATCAGCATGCAGGTCACATTCCTCCACACGGTTTTGATGTAAATCTGGTTACACAACACCTGCGAGCTTCATCCTCTGGTTGACAACCTGCTGCAGCTCCTCTGCCTCACCTCCACCTGCAGCTCTCTGTTTGTGTGGCATCACTCAGTTCATATGTGATTGCTGAACTGTCTGAGCTCAGTGTGTTGCAGAGGCACAGGCGACGCTTCTGATGCATGACTGATGAATTGAACTCTACAGTTTTCTGCGACATTGTTTCACTGAAAGCAACCATAACAGGATGCAGCAAGGGTGACTCATCGTACACAAAACCGCAAACATCTGAATCAATTGTGATTGCAAAGATAACGGGGTTTCCTGCAGCTTGACACAGTTTAAAAACCAGTAAAGGTATGTTAAAAAAAAATCTATTCAGATAAAAAACCCCGAACTAGATGAGGTTGAGGTCCCTTTTCTGAGTTGGTTATCAAAACTGAGCTGCTTGCTTTTTTGTCTGATCCACCTTTACTCCTGTTCTCTGTTTTTACTGATTCCCCACTTGTCCATCTCCAGACATTTCCCTCTTTCTTCTTCTTCTTCTTCTTCCCTCTTTACCTCTGCAACTAAAGCCAGTACCCTCCCCTTCCCCCTTCCCCAATCTCCCTCACCCCTGCATTTTTTTCCCTCCGTTCTATCTTCTTTTCATGAGGATTAACTGTACCATTCTGTACAGTGGGCTAAATTCCTGGAATACGGTCACCGTTAATAACCTACTATCTGTGTGGGAAAAAGCTTCAGGAGCTGCAATCTGCTGAGAACTGAAGGCACATTAGCCAGACATGGATAAAAATGAAAAAACACCTGCTTGGGATC